AAAAAAAAAAAACAGCTAATGGTAGCACATAGCTTTCTTCAAGGTTTGTGTCATCATTTTAGGTAGCCTCTGACCCAGATGAGAGCCCTCAACATTGCAGATATATAATGTGCATCCCCAGCAAAATTGCTCATAAGAATAACTTCATTATTCTGGGAAGCTAGATCTATAAAATATGTAAAATGTAGAAGTGTTCTGCCTATACAATTTCTGGTAAGTACGGCATGACTAAGTGATAAAACCTGAGTCAGCTTCAGTTCAAGCATACCTTTCTAAAATGTGTATTGTGACATGTAGGTGAAAGAAATACAGTGGGCAAAGGCGTTCTGCTCTGAAGTAATCGTGTATTTTGGATCTATATAGTTCTGCCTTGATTAATGCAAAATTAGCTCTGGAAGCATTTCGGAGTATACTGTACCGATTAGTCACAGCAACCCTGAGCTATAGCAGAATGATAAGGGAAAACTCACCAGTACCACTGGACAAATTGTTGTGGGTGGTAAAATATGGTCCTTCAAAGGTCCACAGTCACACTCAGGTTTTAGATGAGAAGCACATTTATTATGCAACTAGAAAAGCAGAAAGAGGGATAATATCAAATACTACACAACAACAGCAAATGTGGGGCAGATTATATTAATATTTCAACTGAAATACAGCAAATGCATTAGAAATACATTAAAATAAGTATATGAACAAATAAAAAGAATCATAAAGGGATTCACATTACATTTGCTTTTTTATATGTACCTTAAATAAACCATTTAGCAACTTCTGTGACCCAGCCTATGTATTTTCTAATTTTCAGAAATGATTATATTAAGAATGTACTTCAGGTTTTGCACCAAAGAAGCCTAATTTCTTTGACAAACACAAATTATTGCCCATTGCAGTCCTTCCTTTGCTTATCTGTTAGTATAATCTTGAAACCCCTGTGCACTGTGTATGGTTTTTTTTTTTTTTTGACCCTCCTGTTTTCTCAAAGTCATTCCAAAGTGCACAGCTCAGTATGGGGCATAATTGATCCCATCATTAGTTTCAACTTTGTAATTCAATATGTAAATGTAACCAGAGATTCATCTCAGTAGGAGCAGGATATAAATAAAAGAAGATGATTATGATTATAGAAATTTATCTTTATATTGTATTTATCAGCTCGACATTAAGTTAGTGTATAATCATATAATGTGCTATTTATTTTTCAACATGTATAAACCCAAACTGATATTTTTACCAACTTTGGTCACAAGTTTAAATTAAGGTTTTATATCATAGTGTATTAAATAGTGATGTTTTTAAATTGAAGTGATAGTTTTTATTGGAATCATACAGATTGGATAAAATAATATTTGCTTGAAAGCATCTAGGGGTTTCTTCCTCCTCCAGTACATATCAATTTGATATGAACTATTTATAAAATAGCAAATGTTGAGATACAAATCATTAGTA